AAAAATACTAATCAGTACAATAATAAGATTGAATTATACACTCATTAGGGAGATGAAGTTAAAAGTTTTAAAAGCCTTGTCATGACTTTTTCTTTTTGTTGGATTCTCCCCCTCTGCGTTTAATTTGTCATGCCCAGTGGATTCATTCTGCTGGGTTTCCTGGGGTTGTGATCCTCATTCTCTTTTCCTAGGGTATTGTCTAAAATTTTTTGGAGTGCCGGTTTGGTATTCATGAAGTTCCTGAGGTGCTCTTTATCATGAAAGTATCTTATTTCTCCATCAATTTTGAAAGATAGTTTTGCTGGGTACATCAATCTGGGTTGGAGGCTGTTTTCCTTTAGGGCTTGAAATACATCACTCCAAGCTCTTCTTGCCTTGAGGGTTTGCATTGAGAAGTCTGCTGTGATTCTGATGGGCTTTCCTTTGTATGTGATTTGTTTCTTTTCTCTCACTGCTTGCAGAATTTTGTTCTTCTGTTGGATTTCTGGAATCCTAACTGTTATATGCCTATGTGTAGATTTTTTTGATTAAGGCTAGCTGGAGTCCTATATGCCTCACTTATCTGTATGTCAAGTTCTTTTCCCCTGCTTGAGAAGTTTTCTGCCATCACTTCTGTGAACAGTTTTTTTTATGTCATCTGCACTCTCTCCTGTTTCTTCATTGACTCTGATCAGTCTTATGTTATTCTTCTTTGCATCGTCTAGCAGCTGCTGGATTGATTTCTCATGTTCCCTTACAATTTTAAAGCAATTTTTTCTTTTCCTGTTCACTAATTGCAATCTTATCTTCTATATGTGAAATTCTATTCTCACACTGGTTCATTCTGCTGCACAGACTTTTGATGGAGTTCTTAATCTCTTGGAAATCTGTTTGTATCTGTTTTATGGATTCCATTTGTTTCCTATGTTGGGATTCCATCATGTTCCTCAGATCCTCTATTTTTTTATCTGTGTCCTCTCTAGATTTATTAATCATGTCTTGCACCATGAGCAAAATCTTTGCTGTTATCTGAGTAATTATTTCTGATTTCATTTTTCCCAGATCCTCTTTTGTTGCCAGTTCAGAGAGTCCAGGTGGTTGAGTATCAGAGTGTTCCATCTCATTTCCCTTTGGGGTTGCTGTAGGTGATCTGGAACTCTGTTTTTGAGGCTTGTTTATGTGTTTCCTCATTTCCACGGTGGGGGCGGGGTGCTTCTGGCACCCACATGGCTCACCTTCTCTGCCCTAGGAGCTTGGGATGGAAGCGGGGGAGCTTCCTTCCAGGTTCTGGGACCAGCTCAGCTTCTCTGCCCTAGGAGCTTGGGATGGTGGTGGGGGAGCTTCCTTCCGGGTGCTGGGACCGGCTGAGCTTCTCTGCCCTAGGAGCCTGGGATGGAGGCGAGGAGCTTCCTTGTGGGTGCTGGGACTGGCTGAGCTTCTCTGCCCTAGAAGCCTGAGATGGAGGCGGGGAGCTTCCTTCTGGGTGCTGGGACCAGCTGAGCTCAAGACCTATTACTCAATGTGTCACAGGGGTGTCAGACATCTGAAGTCCTGATGGAGGCAGCTTTCTCATTCATGAGAAGGTATCTGAAAACTCCATACCCACACTGTCCACCGGCCATTATTTCATCTTTTCAGGAAGGTAAAGAATACTGCTTTTTACATCATCCTGGGGTCTCATCTACCTGAAGCCCACCATCAGCCAATCGCACACGTGTCCAGAGCTCTGCAGGTGGAAGCAGCCGGCGCAGAGGCCGTAGGTGAAAGGGATGGTTCATTCTGTTGCACAGACTTTCAATGGAGTTTTTAATCTCCTGGAAATCTGTTTGTATCTGTTTTATGGATTCCATTTGTTTCCTATGTTGGGATTCCATCATGTTCCTCAGCTCCTCTATTTTTTTTTAATCTGTGTCTGCTCTAGACTTATTAATCATGTCTTGCAGAATGGACACAGTCTCTGTTGTTATCTGAGAAATTATTTCTGATTTCACTTTTTCCAGATCCTCTTTCATTGCCAGTTCAGGGGGTCCAGGTGGTTGAGTATCAGATTCTTCCATGTCATTGCCCTTTGGGGTTGCCTTAGGTGATCTGGAAGTCTGGTTTTGAGACTTATGTGTCTTGTTGTTTCAACAGATGCAGCCTGCTTCACTTTTGTTGTGGTGACTTTGTGCTCGCCCAGTGGTCTTCAATTCTCAATAAGCCACCAAGAGGCATTTTCTCTGCTGCTCACCACCGCACCAATTCCTGGGTTCAGAATGGTGGCCTTCTGGATCCAAGACTGCCCTATTTTCCGTGTGGGGTTCTGGCTGGGGCCTATGCACACTTGGGTGGGCCTCTGGGTGTTGCTTGTGCATCTGTGAAGCTCTTTTACAGGTGGGTCTTTGGCTAGGGACCATGGGGCCAAGCTGCTGGGGTCTGGGCGGGGCCCTGCCCAGCGCAGCTCTGGTCCATGTGGGCTTCTGGCTGGGATATGTGTGCACTTACTGATGGGGTCTAGGTGGGCCTCTGGCTGTTGCTTGTGCACATGTGCAGCTCTTTTCAGGGCAGGGCCCTCGCTAGGATCTGCATGTCCCAGCACAGTTCTGGTCCATGCAGGTTTCTCACTGGGATATGCGTGCATCTCTTAATTCACTTTTGAGAACTCTGTGGAGTTTTCATGCATAGAATTGAATACAGAAGCAGAAGAAACCACCATAAGCCTGTACTGCTGCTGGTATTCCAGCATCCTAAGCCCAAACAGCACCCCTTGGTAGTAAGTCCAAAAGTTGTTAAACAGGTAGGTCATTAAAAGAGGAATATCTGTATACCACTGTCCAATTAAAGAACCCTTGGCTCTCAAAAACTCCTCCTAGAAGCATCAGTTTATCAGAGAGAGCGTCAGTCTGAGTGGCTTTGTCTATAAAAGCACCCCTGTCCTGCCTCAAACAATACTGAACTACTCTTAAACACTGGTTATGTAAAATCAGGTCATGTATGGTTGTTACATGAAATTGCAGGACAGTAAAACTAAGTGCCTGAAACAGCAATAGCCAATCCAATGCTTAGATAAGACCACAGCAAGGTTAAACTTTCATGAAATGTGTCAAAAGACAAAAGTACAATAAATTTAGAGATCTCAATTGGCTTTGTGAATTTTTAAATTGGACAGTATTTCAAACCACAAAAGAGAATAAATGTTCTAGTGAGCTGCACAAGGAAATTAGTATTATAGCCAGGAAATAGCTAAAGAAAGCAGAAACAAAGAACAAAAAGTAGACTGGTCATTTCCAAGTTACTTTCCCTATAAGGTGGGGACAGAGAAATAGAATAACAGGAAAATAACTAGTTAACATTAGTTACTTCAGGTAACTTCCTTTTGGTAAGTACTGAAGGAGAGGAAACTTCATTACCATGTTGATTGAAACCAGCCTCCTTGGGAAATCTGTCTATTTCTGTATCTCTCTCAATTATCTTGGAAGATCAGATAACAACTTAGTTTTGGTTTGGTGACTTTAGTTTGAGTAACCAGTTTGATTTTTAGTTTGGTCTGTTGGAACACAGTGCAGTAGATGAGTCCAAAGCAGTAGCCTCCTATAACTGTTATTTTGCAAATGTAATTATCAAACATTTATTGAGAGGCAACTTTTGGGCCAAGTACTAAGCGAGGTGCTTTGGGCTAAGGTAGTGAGCAAGAAAGAACTTTGCCCTTACATAGCATTCAGTCTGTGGAGAAGATGAAGAATAATAAGAAGAAAGTGTGCTAAGTAAAAAGAAGGAAAATAACTAGAAGAGACAACAGGCCAGATATTGGAAGAGGCAGTATGGTGACAGGAGATAAAAGAGGGCTTCTTGAAGTTAAGTTAAAACATGAAAAACGTGGAAAAGGTAGCTAAGTAAAGTGAAAACAGGAAAAATCTGGACAGTCAATAACTCTACCTTTATTTTAAAAGATTTTATAGAGCACTGATTATCTCACAACTTTTTGTCTGTCCTTTGACGGGCAACTCACAACATCCCTGAATCCCCTGGAACCTAATCCCCGCTACACCAACATATGAACTAGACTGCTGAACTGGTCATTAGCAAGTTTTATATGTCAAAAGTTGCTTCACAATATAAAGTTACTGGAGATCAATTTTCTTCTCTTATTTTCTGCTAAAATTATTAATATATAGTTACGCATTGAACTCTGCATCTATAATAAAACTAAACTTTTTTAGCGGCATGGTGCTAGTTTATAATTCTAATGATTATCTATGGCATTTAGTAGGATCTTGAACTAAATGGACATGACTTTATACCAATAAGAATAACCTCAGTAAACTTATTATGAAAAAAAATTTACTTAATTCCATAAGTATTCAAGCTACAACTATAATGAAAACAAACTCTGGCCCAGACATTATTTTAAAGCTTTAACTTTGCAATTATTCTAATTCTCCTTAAATGATAAAATACAATGATAGAACTAAAAATAGAAGTTCCACTGAAATAAGTACATAAGATATGAAGTCAAAGATTGAGGCACTGACCAGGTCTATTTGGTAAGAAGTAAATTTATCTTCAGATGAATGACAGTCATTATTATTTATTTACCCTTGTCTCACTTTTTTTTTTTTTTGGTACTGGGGATCGAACTTGAGAGCTTGCGCTTGCGAGGCAGGCAGCAGAACCACTGAGCTAAATCCCCAGCCCAGTAAATAAGAGGTCTTGTTTTTTGGTACCAGGGATCGAACTTAGGTCCTTGTACTTGCACAGCAGGCAGTGAAACCACTGAGCTAAATCCCTGGCTGTCTCACTTTTATTAAAAGGTAGAAGGGCTGGCGATTTAGTTCAGTGGTTCTGCCACCTGCCTCACAAGTGGAAGGTCCTGAGTTCGATCCTCAGTACCCCCCCCAAAAAAAGCCACTTTAAATAAATTCTGGGGCTGGGGATTTAGCTCAGTGGTTCTGCTGCCTGCCTCACAAGTGCAAGGTCCCAAGTTCGATCCCTGGTACCAAAAAAAAAAAAAAAAAAAGGTAAAAGGGGCCCTTTAAAGAGTATTTTTTTTTTTAGTCTCACAAATGCTATTTTGCCTTAGAGAGGCTTGTCTTATGTCTGGGAGTCAGCTTGTACTTATCTAAATTTCACATACAAATGTTCTCAGTTGTACACCTATAGTTAGTTACTCTTTAGCTAGAGTTCCAGGAACCCCCATTAAGAGTTTCATATGTACTCTACACCAATAATGGCAGCTGGTGCATTTTTGGCCATGATTTTGGTCATGACACTCACCTTCCACTGTGCATGATAAATTGGACTTTTCCCCCTTAGACTGATTTCTTGAATCATTTACAAGTCAACATTTTATTTATTTTTTGATATTTTAATCATGGATTAAGAATAACTATTTTATAGTTAAAATTATACTTTTAAAGAAAGCTACAAAATTTCAAAAAATAATTTTTCAAGTACACGACCTCAGCCAGTGTACCTCCCATTTTAATCTTACTCTTTAATCTTATATACTGAAAACTGAGCTTGTCTCTCCAACACTCTTAATCTTTAAGCTACAACACAATAAAAATTGCTGGTTGCCAATGACTCACCCAAATCAGTTAATTCAAGATTCAGCTCTCATTTCCAGTATTAGAATATTCACAGTATCTTCCACTTCAAACACTAAAACTGTCCGATTTCATAGTTTCATCAAAGTTGAGATCTGCTTTGGTTAGAAAGTTCCAATTTCATTTTTAAAATTTCTCTTTAAACAAAAACCAAGTAATTCTGCTTTTCACTGAAGTGAACGAAATCAATGAAATCATACCATGTTTCTGTTAGGCAGAGCACAGCAGTGGGATTGCTACAGCAACTGTTGTACACTGAACACAGAATGCCCCATCCAGGAAAGAAAGCTTTTGCTCCACCCACCGAAGAGTCAGTGGCCCTGACAAGCAGGCTGTCTGTGAACAAAGACATGTTTTTAGTTCAGTAGCTGTGATGGAGCAACAAAGCCCCATTCTTCACTGTCTCCCAGAAATAAATGTTACCTCAACAACCAAAACAAACTCCACACCAAGTTGCTGTGTGTGATTATGTATTTCTACGGCGTGGTAGATTTGTATTCTTCACCCCAACCCTGTAGAAACCTGGGGATAGGAAAGTAGTCAAAGTGATTTTCCTTCAGGTACAGGGGGAAAAAAATTAGAACATTTCCACTTTTGTGTTCTACAGTAATTATTATTATTTTGGCCACTCAGATTAAAAAACATTTATTGAGTCTTAATTAAATGTCAAGCCTTCTGTTGGATGCTTTTGGATGTTAGTTATTTCATTTAGTCCTCACAACCACCCTGGCAGTAGGATTAGTATAACCCCAACTTTACAGATGAGAAACTGAAGCTCCAAAGTTACTTGATTATGTAAGCTAACAAACAGTGAAGTCAAAGGACCAGGGATTTAGCTCAGTGGTTCTGCCGCCTGCCCCAGAAGCGCAAGGTCCCGAGTTCGATCTCCGGTACCCCCCCCCAAATTAAAAATAAAACAATGAAGTCAGAATTTAAATCCAAATCTCTTAACTCAAAGGTATTGTGTTCTTTTCTACTATACTACAATAATTTTATGAGAAAACACTCAATTCTTAACTGAAATATTTAAGTGTTTTTAAAATGATTTTTGCATTTTACAGTAATTTGTTTTAGCAACACATTTTCATAAGTAGTAACTTTTCTGATAAAAAATGTATTTGCTGGGTATGGTGGCACACATCTGTAATTCCAGCACTTGCACTTGAGAAAGTGAGGAAGTAGGATCGCTGTGAATTCAAGGCCAGCTTGAACTACACAGCATGACTCTGTCTCAAAAAAACCAAAATCAAGCTGCCCTCCAAATTAGCCACCTTCCTAAATGCATAGAAGAAAAGGGTTGCATTATAGTCTTGGTGAGTTTTGTTTTTAGTTTCTTTTTTCTTTTTTGCTAAGCTTAAATTATAGAACTTGTATCTTTGAGGAGGAAAGGTAAAGCAGAAAAATGGATATGGTGCTAAAACTGAATTTAGATGGAACATTCGGGGGAACACCTCCAGGGCCAAGAAGCTGATAGGGAAGGCAAAGTAAAAGCAAGTTAAGGACACACATCACATGTATTATTCAAACCAGGAGAGAAACTTTGATCTGTGCCATTAATTACTTTCAAATTCAATTCCAAGGATCAGTCTGCCCATTTTCAGTCAGCTCATTTTCAGGTATGGAAATGCCTCTACCATGGCATTTCTTCTCACCATTAGCATGAAATCATAGCTCTCCTCTTCCCTAGAAGATTCACAATTACTCACTTTTTGAGAATTTCTTAGGAAAACAGAAACAAAGACCATCTTTTAAAAATTATTTTTTTTAGCTCCTTAGGTCCAACCTAAAAATTCTTTCACATCCAAAGCCTGAACACTCCTACTGGTGTGAATTCAGAGAATTTGGTAAATTCTTAAACTGCTACCCTATATTCCAAGCTTTTCTTACAGCTTTTCTATCTGTCCTCTATTTCTACTTTAGTTGATGACTTTAGTTCTCTAGTTGCATCAGAGGATTTGAGTGAGAATCCAAGAGTTCAAAAAAGTTGTACTAGTTATCACAGGCTTCTAAAAAGCCAAGTGTAAATTTATTATAAAGCATGCATACATAAAGAAATTATTACATCACTAATTTTAAAATATAAAAATAAAGATATGCCACATCACCCTGATTTTTTGCTGGATAAGGTAATTAAATACCTCTCTTTCTAATAAAAATATACCACCTTTTTAGATGGTAGAAACTCATGTTCTCAATTTAGATTGAGGGACATTATATATAATCCAAAGAATAAAAGTCAGCAAAAGTAATAAAGATAAATCAGATCATGGGTATTAAAAAAAATCTAGATTTGTATAGAGAATAGGAATAGTATTCTGTCAGTGAATTACTGTCTTGTACATATTAGGTAACTATGGATTCCTACTTGTAATTGTCACATAAAACCAACGTTAAAGACTTTCACAAAACTGTAGAAACAAGACAGGGAGACAGCGCCAGACAGCACTAAGATCTTTCTGTACTCTGTTCATTTAATGTTGGTTCTTAAGGTTATAAGTCTACTAAAAAAAAAAAAAAAGGTTATAAGTCTACTAAATGAAAAAGTGGAATGGTATTGATATCTCAGATTTAACTCAATTTTGAATACTGAGCAACCCAGTATAATTTCCTAGCTTTAGCTTAAGATATCTACAGAGTGAATAATGTTTCTAAAAGATGATGAGTTTATGGGCTTTGGTCAGTAAGAAAAAGAAAAAAAGATATCATATTATTTGGAACTCTTAGTTGGTCACTAAGCATTGATTTAAAAACATACAACTTCATGTTTTATAGAGGCCAGAAATGTAATTTAAAATTTCACAAACATATATTAGATTAAAACCATTTTAACAATTCAAATTCTTGCTGACAAAGTTCATTTAAGCTGACAGTTTTGCTATTGTATTACTGTTCCCACATGATATCATCTCTTCTCAATTTCGCTTGAATATTATGAACTCGTATTGGATGAAAGTTGCTGCTTTTCTGAGAAGAGTTAGCTTCATTCAAACATTTTCTGGGGCTATTTTTCATGCTCTTCAATCCTTGGTTACTGTCTTGCTGAATACCCAAAGCTTTACTTTTCTTTGAGTTTTGAACTTTTTGCTGCAGTTTATGGACCTGAGAGAGAGAGAGAGGGAGGGAGAGAGAGAGAGAGAGAAAGAGAGAAAATCTAACATTTTAGTAAAAGAGATAATAAAAATATAAAATAGATAAATTGTTGGCCTAAAGATTACATTAAAAAGTTTAGTTCAGTAAGTTTTTAGTTATAGAACATTTATTATACGCCAAACACTGTACTAGTTGTGTAGGAATATAAATAAAATAGTCCTTGCTTTCAAGGAGCTTATTGCTCTGATTAGTGAAAAAAGACATATACTTGATAACTATGGAATACTTCAAGCTGAGGTAACTCTGAGTAGGAAAAAGTGTGTATTTGAGAAGGCTAAAGTAGAATGAGATCAATGTAGGCTGGAGAAGTAGAGGGAAAGACAGTATGAAGATATGAAACTGGTAAAAAGTAAAGAACAGAGAAAAGAGAACTTTTCAGGTGATACTAACAGCAAAGTGCTAGGAATGAGCACTGAGTTTATACAGTACATATATAATCTTGAAGTATGTCTGAATTTAAAGACCTAGTGAATTTAGAAAAAAAGTCAAAAGAATAATTTTACTGAGGAGTGTCTGCTAATAATAGAATAGATAAAATTAAATAAAACAATCCTATCAACAAACACAAATACATTTCTTTAAAGTCTGACCCATTATTTATTATTTCACTTATGCACAGGTCTAATTTGTAGAGCTGATGCAGATATTGTGCGAGTAACTGGTTGTCTCTTTGCCTAGGAGGCAATTTTTATTACAGATTAAATTTGCCATGATAAAATGCTTAAAAATTTAACTGTTATACCTATTATGGAATATAAATTATAATTTTAAAAATATAAAATGTACAGGCTGCCTAAATTCTAAAAACATGATTATTCTTCTATTCAAATTTCTCCTATTCAATTATAAGAAAGTGTACAAATTGAATCAAGTTTTATAATCGTCACCCCTAAACAAGCATATAAAATTTTTTACTTACTATAGCCTAAAAAGCCAATAAAGTGAAAATATTTGCTTCGAAAGTTTCATTTCTTTCTTTTTTTTTTTTGGTACCAGGGATCGAACTCAGGTCCTTGTGCTTGTGAGACAGGCGATGGAACCACTGGGCTAAATCCCCGGCCCTCATTTCTTTCTTTCTTGGTCATAAGCAGAATAAAGGCAATAGCATTCTGCATCTTTATTACTTTCCTATAAAAGTGGGGGGAGGTTTATTTGTGAGATTAATATATTATCAACTTATATGAATGATTATTCAAGGTTTAAGGAAAAGTTCCCTTGCCTTCTGCCCCAGCAGTATAATAGTGCTGAAAGGTAAACTGCGGAGTCACTGTCTTGAGAAATAATATATTTGTGATTCTTTAGTTAAAATGTTAAAAGTTATGCCATTTTTAGTTATTAAGACTTCACACATAAGTATACAGTCCTTAATACCTATGTCCTAACTTTAGCTACCACAGCTGAGCATAGGAACATGAAATGGAACAGGAAACGGAACATGGCCCAGCTTGTTTTGGGAAAGTCGTTTCAGAGTTGGGGTACTGTTTAAATAGCCAGGTATAGGGCTGGGGATTTAGCTCAGTGGTTCCACTGCCTGCCTTGCAATCCCAAGGTCCAGAGTTCGATCCCTGGTACCAAAAAAAAAAAGCCAAGTATAAACCTGCCTTAGAGACCTGAGGTCATAGGGGCATCATTAAGACATTAAAGGAGAGATGACAAGGGAAAAGAAGGGCTGAAAGGTTAACTTGGAAGGCTACTAAGGCCTTTCTCACAATTTTTCCAAAGCCTAAATACATAATTCAATGTTCTTGCTCCTTTTTCTTTACATTATCTTGGAGAGTTAGCTAGGAGGCCCAGGTCATCTAAATGGGGAAGACGGCTCTATATGAGACTTAGATGACCTTAGTTTTTCACTAACCCACACAAAGAGAATTTAAATTAGGAAAGTCATATGGAGAAGTAACACCGAATCCAGATATATTATCTGTTTGCTAAAATTTTTTACTAAAACCTTACACTGTCCTGATGCTTCTTCAGTTTGGAAATTTGTTTTTCTTTAATTTCCATTTTCTTGACTAAACACTCTAGTTCACATTCTATGTCGTCACACATGGAATGGCTTTCAGTTTCCTTCATTTGTTTCAGTAGTTCTTCATGCTCCCTATCAAAGAAAAATACCAAGGCCTATAAAAGTCCATATAACTTGAGATTAGATACATTTAGGCTGCTAAACATCCTTTAAAAATTTGAATTCCTGATGTTCACGGTTAAACTTTCTAATGACTTTGGCTAAAGGAATTAAAAGGTTCTCTTCAATTCAAACTCTGGAATTTGAAATATTGTAAATAGAACTAGTTTATATGTATCATAGAGGTCTCACTTCAAGGAGCTGGCCAGACAAATCACGCAGTTCTGGAATTCCTGTTGAATATATATTTAAACATGGGGCATAATATAATGTGCCTTATACAGAATCTTCTATGGATGCATCAAAATTTATAATGCAGACCAGCTAGAGTCTAAAAGAAGGAATTATATTCCCACTTGTCTAATGAAATAATTCATTTAACTAAAAGACTCTAAAAAACAAAAGAATTTTTCTTACAAAAGCTTTTGTAAATTATAATGTAGGTTACCAGACCTTATTTATTAGATTGACAGTAACATGTCTATCAGTCCAAATCCTGGGAATACAGAAACTCCTTAGATTGGAGAAGTAGTAATTACACAGTAAAACACATAAATATAGTACAATGAATACAGTGAAAAATAGTGTCAATAAATCTGCAGATCAAAGTAAAGTAAGTCCTGCTAACCATGGTGGTACATGACTATAATCCTAGCTACTTGGGAGGCTCAGGCACGTGGATCAAGATTGAGGCCAGCCCGGGGAATTTAGTGAGACCCTGTCTCAAAATAAAAAAGAAATGGGGAAGTAGCTCAGCGGTAGAAAGTTCAAATAGCTAAACAAAATCTTCAAGAATTTATAAGTGGCATTTTTCTGGGGAATGAAAGAAAAAATGTTATCTAAAAACCTTGTTACTTCTGTTGATACAGAATAAAAATACTTACATGCTCATTTGGTCCAGCTCATCTTGCATTGCCATCAAAAGTTCAGACAAATTGTCACAAATGGAAACAGACTTTTCTGATTCACAAGGTACAGCGTTATACTGGGAAACTGTTCTAGGTGGCTTACAGAGACATCGAGGCTCAATCACATGGGCATGTTTTGGAAAGACATGTGGGCTGCAATGATACATCTTGTGCTGAAGGCTTTGCCTACCTGCATTCACAGAACAGCCTGCACTGGCAGACTTAAGGGAGAAAAAAACAGCTGAGGACAACTTGCATGATGGTATTTGAACAGCACTTACAAATAAGTAGAAGCCTTCTTGAACTATCTTCATTTTTATCCTCTCACCTTTTTAGCCTCAAAAAGTGGTGCTCTAAACTTTGAATAAATTTGTGGAGGTGGTTCTTTTCTTAAACATTTAGTTTTCTAAATATTGACAGGGGGAAACGTAAACATATTTTTAAAAATATATTTACAATATGAAGAACTCTCAAAACTGAACAGTAAACAAAAATACAATTTGAAAAATCATAACATTAAAAGTATATTTTTTCTTACCATTATATATCACTAAGGTTTATGTAATACAACTATCTAAAATGTCAACTGATATAATAAACAAGATATTGATCAATCTATAAAGTATTAACTACCCCATCTTTATTATTAGGCAAATTGAAAGAATATGAACATAGGATAAATAACAATAAATTCCCTATATAAATGACTTTACACACCTACAAATTAAATCTCTAAAACTCATTTTTAGTATGTACATATATGAAACTGCATTCAAGATTTGTTAGCATCCACTGTGTTCAGTGTCACTTCAAAAAAAGTATCACCAAATAGAGTTTGAAACTATAAAAATGTTTGCTTTTCTAGAAAAACTGAAGGGGTTCCTATTATTTCACAGACACCTATAGCACCCACTATGTGCTTTTTTTTGCTTTTGTTGTCAAGTAAATTTAGAGCTGATTTTTTTTTTTTTTGAGATACTGGGGATCGAACTGGGGACCTGGCCTTTGCAAGGCAGGCAGCAGCACCACTGAGATAAATCCCAGGCTACAGCTGAGTTTCTTACATGACTGATGTTACTTCTTTAACCCAGCCTTTATATAATTTTCTGTTCTTATACCTAAAACCATCATCATTTGACTAATTTCATGGCATTATTGCATGTCTTTTATTATAAGTTCTTGAAATACCTTCTGGAAAGAGGTAGATATAAGGGTTTAAAGGGTGAAAAATGGGTGTTAGAAAATAAGAAAGTTGTTTGGAAAAAAGTTTTATATGCATACCTTTGAAGATTTTTTCTTTTCCTTGGAGTGTTTTGAATTTGAAACTGAAGACATTAAAATTTTACTGATTTCAAGTCCAGTTTGAAGCTATATCAAAGAAACAATCCATAAAATTGATTTGGAATAAGCTTCTTCAAATACAATAAAAATCAGTCTCAGTTTATAAGCAAAAAAAGTTTGAGAGACAGGTACTATGGGACATGCCTATGGCTACTCAGGTAGTGAGGCAGGAGGACTGCTTGAGGCCAGTTCAGGGCCAAAGTGGGCAACAGAATGAGAGACCACATCATCTCAACAAAACAAAAATCTTTTGAGAAAGAAAAGAAAACCCAAAATACTACTTTCTGTGTGCATCAAAAGTCAGTAAGTCTATTGGTAATTATAATTATTTGCTGTTTATAAGGGAACAGATTATTTATATATACATGCATTGTACATACACACATATACCAAACTGAAAATAATCTATTGTAGGCGTTACTTCAACTGAAAACATTTGTATCTGCTGGGATTTCAAAAGACAGAGACCTCTTGGCAATGGATTCAAGTGTATGAATATTTTGGCTAACTGCAAATTTCATTATTATAGCAAGAACAGGCAAATTAACAATTTAGGAAGCAGAAATTAGAGTCTGAGATATAGGCTTCCATTAATAAAATATAGAATAGGGAGTGGGGATTTAACTCAGTGGTTCCAGTGCCTGCCTCACAAGCGCAAGGTCCCAAGTTCGACCCCCAGTACCAAAAAATATATATATATATCTATATATATAGATATATATAATAAAACATATATAGTTTATTGTAATAGATTAATATTATTTACCTCAGCAGCTTTGTCTTGAAATAGCTTACGCTGATGTTCTTCTTCCTGAAGTTTTTCCTCTAGATGTTTAATCTTGTCCTGTAAAGAGGATAAAAAACTAGGATTGTTATATAAAAACCAGAGACAAATACCCTTGTTTAATTTTCCAAACAGTTCTAAGGGCTTGTATTTTTAAGAGTTGGCAAATTAAAACAGAAAGTAAGAAAAGGGAAGGCAAAAGATGTTAAGATTTTTCTTGGTTTTCTTCCTATGCTTCCTTACCTGCTATTATACATAAAGAGAAGAAAAGCAAAGCAAAGAATGTACACAGACTTCATCTATTTTTTCCTTTTTTGGTACTGGGAATCAAATTCAGGGCCTCGTGCTTGCCAGGCAGGTACTGTGCCACTGAGGTACATCCCCAGCCCAGACTTCATAAACTTCTATCAACAAAACCATTACGATAACATTTTTGAAGGTATTAAAGGTCTAGAAGGTCAAACAATTATAGTCTTGGGTCTCAATGTTTCAGCAACAGAAAAATAACAATGAATACCTATTGTGTGCTTGTGATAAGAGCCTGGTTGTTGGGGGAAGGAAGACAAACATGGTCCTTCTCACTTGAGAGCCTATATAGTATTGTAGTTAGGGAAATGAGCAACATACATGAAACAAAGAAAGCAACGACTATGATTAACATGGACCATGTGTACACTATATAACCTTACACACCTAAGTATTACATCTTATACCTGTGATGTGGTTCAGAATAGGATAACAGTGTTATTTCAAAGGGAGAATTTCCCAAGTGTTGCGTAACAGAAGAAAGGCTTCAAAGAGAGAAAATTCCATGCAATGGAAAAGATTTTAGGAAGGGATCTAGGATAGGTTTAACTTCACCATAGGTAGTAAAAGATAATCTTTTCAATATCCTTTAGGTAAATTATCTGACACATGAAAATATTTTGCTGTCTTAGAAGCAGCCAAAATTATAATTTTACATCAAAAGACAAACTCATTCATGTCATGACAGAACATATTTTTACTTTTATCTCTAAAGACAGGAATAGCTGGATTACTAAAAGTTATAAATGAAATTTTATAAATCTAAGATTTGCTGTATGAGTATACAGTAAACAATGCCAATTTTGATTACCACTAAAGATTTATTCCTGGAATCATAACTTCAAAGAAACAAGTAGAAGCTTACCTCAGCAGTCTTCTGAGTGGTTGTCAGTCTAAAACACTCTTTTTCTAAGACATCAAGCTTTTCAAGTTTTGCATGCAGCTTCATCTGATCTTGTTCTTTTTCCCTTTGAAGCTGGGCCTGGAAAAGATAAAAACAAAACCTGAATTTGGCAAGTGATGCCAATGAATCAAGAATAATACAATTTCTGTGAATTCAAAACACAATATACGTGTGTTATAAGAATGTACATATGAGGTATGACTGAAAAGAATGGTGAATGTTTAAATTTTAAAAAGTATTACAGTAAAAACACACTGCCATTAAGTTCCCCCAAAACACCCCTCCCTCCCAGCTTCAAACACACTTATCCCATAGTTCTTGTCCAGTTTCCCACGTAGCTCTGGAAGCCCTCTTTTGTGTCTTTAGTTTTGCTGTCATGGCTGCCTCAATGTCCTAAATGGATTCAAGACGTTTACCTTTCATGGTCATTTTGTTTGGGGAAAAGCTGGAAGTTGCATGGTGCCAGATCCAGTGAATAAGGTCGATGAGGATAGAGACTGTAATGTTTTTTACAACTCTGCCTTTACACTGGATGGCACTAAACAGCATTCACTGCATTAAAAAAAAATCATATCTCCTAGAAATACTCACAAGGGACTTCCAGAAGTACATCAGAAAGTGGCAAGAACAATGGAATAAGTGTGTTTGAAGTGAGTGAGAGTATTTTGACTGGATTTGATGGAAATATGTCTTTTACTGTAATAATATTTAATTTAAACATTCACTATAGATTTAATTTTAAATTTAGACATTCACTGTATATTTCAATTAGACTTCTTAACTTTAGGTGCTTACAAGCAGTTTCTGAGAATTAAAAAAGATATAAATCTGTTATAAGAAACGTACATACTTTAAGTACTTAGAAGTCAAAAATAAGCATTATGATTTTGGGGTTTTTTTTGGTACTGGGGATCAAACTCAGGTCCTTGTGCTTGCGAAGCAGGCAGCAGAACCACTGAGCTAAATCCCCGGCCCTTAAGCATTATATTTTTAAGGAGCAAATAAAATGTGCCCCCTCAAAAGATGTGCTATATTAGCATGAATGGAATAAATCCCACTATTCATCTTATATAACATTTCTACTAAGGGACACATCATTAGCAACATCTGTATTAAATAAAGGGCTATTCAGAAGGTGACCAAACTTACTTACTGACTTAATCTCTTTCTAACATAGAAAAGCAGCTATCAAGGAATAAATCATAAGGAATACATGGAGAAAAAGAAATTCATACATATATATGCTTTTCTATACACTATTTGGAAGTACTATTTACCACACTAATGAAAGATATTAATAATATGGACAACTGTGATGGTACTATCTGCCCTATTTCCTATAAATCTAAAATGGCTCTAAAACATAAAGTCTATTAAAACAAACAACCATGATAAACAGAGTCTTGGTGGGCTATGGCATAATATTTCATTGGAGTCTCAGAAGGAGAGAGAAGTAAGAGAAAAATTATTGAAGAAAAACAGCTAAAAAGTTCTAAATTTTAATGAAAAACACTAATAGATTAAAAAAATCTCAGAAGTCCCAAGCAGAATAAGTACAAGAAAATTACACGTAGGGGTATCATTATCAAATTCTCAAAGCTGGATGTGGTGACATATGCCTGAAAGACTAGCACTCAGAAGGCTGAAGCAGTAGGATCTCAAGTTCAAAACCAAGCCGGGCTATATAAAGAGACCCATCTGAAAAAAAAAAAGGCTGAAAATCACTGATGAGGGGAAAAATCTTAAAAGCAGCCTGAGAAACAATGACACAATATGCACTGGCGGGGGGGGGGGGGGGGGGCATGGATTCTTGCCAGGCATGGTGGCACATACCCATAATCCCAGCTTCTTGGAAGGCTAAGGCAAGAGAATAACAAGTATGAGGCCAGCCAGGGTAACTTGGGGAGACCCTTGTTAAGGGCTAAGAAATTTTTTTTTTTGGTACCGGGGATCAAACTCGGGTCCTTGCACTTGCAACGCAGGTGGCAAAACCACTGAGCTAAATCCCTGGCCTGGGCCCCGGCCCGGGCTAAGAATTTTTAAAAATTTAAATATAAAATTCAAATTGAAATAAAATTTAAAATGAAAAAATTTTAATTGGTGTAGGTTTGCAATACTATAATTACTATACATACATATGTAGTATGTATATATGTAGTGTGTACACACACACATATGTAGTATATTAATCATTTTCCATCCCCTTCTTTCCTTCCTCCCTACCCTATCCTCTCTCCTTCCTCTGGTCCCCTTCCCCATCTCTAAAATGTCTGCTTCTCTGTTCCTACTATTTCTCCTTTATTTTACTCTTCATTTATGTTCTGGATTTCTCACACAAGAGAAATCCTGTGATTTTTAACCTTCTATATCTGACTTATTTCACTTAACATTGTCTGAAGATCCATCCATTTTCCTATAAATAACTCAAATTCAACCTTCTTTATGGCTGAATAATACACACAACAGACACACACACACACATCACATTTTCTTTATCCATTTGTCTGTTGATGGGAGCATAGGCTGTTTCCATAGTTTACCTATTATGAATTGTGCTGTTATAAACATGGGCATAAAGTAGCACTATAGGATGATGTCTAACTTATGGGAAAAAGAGTTAGACATCATAAAGCTAGGTCAAATGAAATTTCTCTTTTTAGTTTTTGAAGAATTCCATATTAATTTCAAAAGTAGTAGTAATAGTTTACATCCCCCCAACACAGAAGGGTTACTTTTTCTCCACAACCTTGCCAGCATTTGTGTGTGTGCGTGTTCTTGATAATAGCCATTTTGCCTGGAGTAAGACAGAATCTGAGTTGTTTTGATTTGTATTTCTTTAGTGGCTAAATATACTGAACATTTTTTTCATGTACTTATTTGCCACTTGTACTTCTTTTGAGAAGTGTGTATTAATTTTGTTCACCCATTTTTTTGACTGATTTGTTTTGGGGGGTCTATTTTCTGAGTTCTTTAAATAATCTAGATATTAGCCCTGAGTTTGAGGAGTAGGTGGCAATTTCCTCCCATTATTTAGGTTGTCTCTTCACTCTGTCCATTGTTATCTTTGCTGTGCAGAAGCTTTTTAATTTAATATAATCCCATTTGCTGATGGGATACTGAATCTACATAAATGAAAAAAAAATGGAAATGATGGAAATGTGGCTATTTTTTGCTTGATTTTCTTTAAAGAATATTTAAAGCAAAGTAATTATGCATTATGAGTTTTATAACATACACAAAAGTAAAATGTATATAAATTATAGTATAAATGGGAATAAGTAAAAGTGTACTGTAGCAATAAATATCTTAACACTATATGTGAAGTCTTTTAACATTAATATATGGCAGACTGTGGTAAGTTAAGAATACATATTTTAGCCCATCCAGCAACTGTTATAAAGTAGAAGGACCAGATGATAATATAATTTAAAAAAAAATCACCAGAGCAGTTGAGAAATATTTTTAACTGAATGATAGTGAAAATATAAAATATCAAAATTTGTGGAATGAAAGTAAAGCAATATTTAGTAGGAATTTTACAGCTTTAGACACAAAATATATCTAGGAGAGATGAATAAAAGGTTTAAAATCAATAACTTAAGCTTTCAACATAGGAATGAAGAAGGGATCCAACATGGTTGAGTAGAGGAGGAGCTTTATTGGAGAGACTCAAGAGAACATTAACTAGAAACACAGGTAACTTAACTAGGGAAGGACATTCTGATACAAAGAATAAATTTGAAAGAAGATACTTATAGATCAAACAAGATACATAGGAGTTAAGAAGAGGGGAAGTGGTCCCTGAGGGCCAGCCCCTGTGCCCCCATCTTTGCCCACTCTGGGAACGGCCATTCTGAGAACTTGCCAAATAGCCAGAGGGATCCAAGCAGTGAGGCATTGAAGGAGAAGAAATCAAATGCCACATAGCTAAAATTTCTGCAATGGTAGCAGTGGAAGTACCAAAGCAGATGAATAAGACCCCTGAAGAATTCAAAGCAGACATAATACAGATAATTGAAGAGATGATGACTATAATGAAAGAAATGATTAGTGAATCTAGAGTAGATACAGGTTAAAAAAAAAAAAAGAGGCACTAAGGAAAGACATGGAAACCATGAATGCCCAACACAGAAAAGAAATGGATTCCATAAAACAGTCTCAAACAGAAATCCAGGAGATTAAAAGTTCTATTGAAAGTATATGCAGCAGAGTCAACTAATGTGAAGACAGACTATCAGACCTAGAAGACAGGGTTGTGGTTAGTAATCAACAAGTAAGAGATTCCTAAAAAAATTGTCAGGGACCATGAAAAATCAATCCAACAGCTTCTAGATGATGCAAAGAAGACTAATTTAAGATTAACTGGAAACAAAGATAAGGCAGAAGAAAGCACAAAGGATATAAAAAAACCTGTTTATAGAAGTAATAGCAAAAAACTTTCCAAGCATGGAAAAAGAATTTGACATAGAGATAAGTGAGGCATACCGAACTCTAAATAGCCATGATCAGAAAAAAAACTACACCAAGGCATATGCTGTAGTCAGGGTTTGCAAGGGAACAGATCTAATACAGGACACATAATTTACCGGATTATTCTGTAATATTCACCCAAAAAGTCAAATGCAGAGTGCAAGAGATCTGTCCAGATGCTAGAGACCCATAGAATCCAGCCAAGGGCCTGCATCCCATGGTCATGTCCCACACAAGTCCAGCTAAAGGCCTACCGCCCAAGGCAATGTTCTTATAGAGGATCTGCACTGGGAAGGCTGAAAGGCCAGTGGTGGAGAAAGCCTGTGCTGACAGGGTGAAGAATTTGTGCCACCAGGCTGAAGGATTGGCACAGAAGCCAAGAAGCAATGCTCAAGGCAAAGATTAGAGCTCCCTTGGTGAGAACAGTCACTCCCAGCGACAGTGAGGACCAGACCTCCTCTGACAAGAACAGCCAAGATTGCATCAGGAAGACCGGCTGAGGCAAGATTCTCCAAGAAAATCAACAGCAAACAATCTTCCCCTCCAGTTTTCTTTTTATGTTGTTGGTAACAATCCTCAGGTGGGTCATCCATGCCCAGAACTATGGT